AGCTGCTCTATCCAGAACAGGGATCAACACACTTTCTGTCAAGATCCAGATGGTAAATACTTTAGGCCTTGTGGGTCCTTGCGTGGCACCAGTGATTGCAATCAGCTGCTAACCTTTGGATTGGTAGTCTGAACCCACCCAGCAGCTCCACAGAAAAAAGGCCAGGCAAAATGTCGCCATAAAAATTATACCCACAATTCATCAAGCAGTTTTACCCTGTAGCCAATGTAATGGTATTTTAGAAATTCTGTAATAATTCTGTAACTATAGATTGCAACCAAGAAAACCTTGGGAGCACAATTCTGCTCTGTAACACACGGGGTCACCAGGAGTCAGAATCAGTTAGATGGCAACAGGGCATGCAGTCTCTGTTGCAAACACTTAGTAGCAGCAGTAGTTACATGCAAACACTTAACTCAGTCATTTTAGCTCCAAAGCAGCCACAGACAGTATGTAAATAAACCCGCATGTTTGCATTTCAATCAAACTTTATTTACGAAAAACAGGTGGCTGGCCTGTGGGCTGCAGTTTGCCAAGCACAGATCCAGAACTTGAGATCTCTTCAGACTAAGGCAGACAAGCAAAGACCAGAGAATCCCACATGGGCTTTTCCCTGCCTTGGCTCATGCCACTTTTGCTCACAATTTACCTGCTGAAACCATCACAAGTTTTGTTACATGCTGTGGAGTTGGTTCCGACTCCCAGCAACCCTAAATACAACAGAATGAAACACACTGCACGGCCCTGCGTCATCCTCATAATCACTGCTGTGCCTGAGCCGCTGCCGCAGCCACCGTGTCAGTCCACCCCGCTGAGTCGTCCTCTTTCTGCTCACCCTCTCCAGGGACTCGTCCCACCTGATAACATGTCCAAAGTGTGTGGTACAAAGTCAGCTGTAAGAGGAGGATTAGAATAGTACCCATTCCATAAGCGATGGGAAGATTAATTAGATGACCCACAAAATGTGTAGAGTTTGGTGAATGTTCCTTAGTGTTCAAAAAAAATAATGCAAACCATTTACTGGTCCAAGTCCTCAGAATTTAGAAAGAAGCCATTAAAAAGAGTTCAGGGTTAAAACTCAAACTCATTAAAAAGA